TAAAAATTAATGGTGGAGAGGACAGAAATTTATTGAGCTAATATCTTGGTGTATATTTACTCAAAATATATGTTTGTTAGTTCTTTTAGAAAATCTATAATCTTAGTTGAACATAATAAATATTTAAAAAGCCACTTATCGAAGACAAAGTGTCCTATGGTTTGATATCACATAGCATATTTTTGTATACAAATCCCAGAATATACTGATCCCGCAAATAGCTATTAACTGGGGAATCCAGAATTTTTAGCGACTTTCTTGTATTAAATAATTTCCTTCAGTGGCTCTGAGTCATAGCTCCATTCTGGATCTGCCTCTTTTTTTTTATTATCAATAGATAGGTCCCAACCCAGTATTATTAAACCACATTCCGTAGGGTGGGCCTTTGGAAGACAGAAACAAGACTGAAGAAGCTTTGCTTTTATCTTGGTTGTGAAGTACAGTCCACACAGAAGGCTGTATAAAGTCACTTGGCCGGTCAGTCGCTGTATGTGTCCGTGTCAAAGAGAATTTAAATGATCACAAAGCAGTGTGCAGAGAAAGTCAGAGACTCTTCTGTGACGTCCCTGTCAAAGCTATTTCCTTTAGTCACGAGGGAGTATAAGACACTTTCCAAATGGGAGACACTTTACAAAACTCTAGCCTATAGTCTTCAAATGTGGCAAGGCCAAGGAAGGACCGAGGAACTGTTCCAGGTTGTGGTTCATTAAGGAGACACGACAACTAGAGTGTGATGGAGGGTTCTGAGCCTTTATAAAGAACTTACTGGTGACATACTAGTGGAAACAAGACAGAAGAAACAAAGACTGGATGGTCATTAATGCACCAGTATCCATTTCTTTATTTTGAAGGTTGTATTGTGGTCATGGAGGAGGATTAGCTTGTTCTTAAGAAAACATACAAAAAAAAAAAAAAAGAAAGAAAGAAAGAAAGAAAACATACTAAAATATTTCAGGCTTAGAACTTCAGGTCAGGAATTCTCACTCAAATGTCAAAAATAAAATTTTTTGGACCTCTGTACCATGTGACAGAGGCATACTGCGGTTATGAGAATAATAACGCTAGGGCTGCAGAGACAGCACAGCAGTTTAAGGACCAGGGTTCAATCCCGGTACCATGTGCATGCTGGTCCCACCTCCGAGCACGCCAAGCTGGCCACCATGACCAGGTGTGGTGGCGCACACCCAGGATCCCACATGGAGGAGGCTGAAAGAGGAGGATCACTATGAGTACACAAAGTTAAAAAATAAAAAGAGCAGTAATGCAAGATATCAGGCGTACGGGATCATTTCACAGGCCTGATACTGAGCATCTGCCGTCTGACCTGGGAATTCCAGCCATGTCCTGGGAGTTTCCAGCCCTCAAAGCCATCTCGGCACAGCGGCTTATTTCCTAAGCCTGAAAGCTCATCCTTGCAGGAATAGCATAACATTCCTCTAGGAAAGAAACCCCTGGCCACTAATTCAGACTGAATACAAGCTGGAAAAAAGCAGGAATTTTCCCCTAAATTTCGGGTAGAGTCTGAAAGACGTTTTTGGTGATGTGACTGTTGAACGTATCCTGCCTACGCTCCTGGCTTGCTGTGACTATTTATTTTGTCAGCATATGCTCCAGAATACACTATTTGGACACTGATGATGTCGAAGATCATCTTGAGTGAATTTGACCAGGGAAAATGGTCACCAGTGGAAACCTGGTCTATCAAGTTTACTACAAATCCTTGAACTTGATAGTCTTCAAATTTTCTGTATATTTGTGATTTGTTAAAAGTTAAACTAAAATATATACTTGTATGTGTAGTTACATATATATAAATCAAATTTACACCAGTTAACTCCTATCCGAACTATATGAGCTCTGCACAAAAATTCTGATATTGCCAGTGGGCATTTGAAAAAGTTTTCAGTGTCATGAAGCGTCATGGCACTGAAGTTAAATTATAAGGAAATATTATTACATATTAATTAAAATAAAAGCAATAATATATTAACATTGGCAAGAAGCTGAAAGAATTTGAACTCTCATAATATAATTATAAATTGATTAAACTTTTTTTCTTTTTTTTTTTGGAGGAACTGGGGATTGAACTCAGGCCCTTGCGCTTGCCAGGGAAGCGCTTATTCCACTGAGCCATCTCCCCGGCCCAAATTGATTAAACTTTTAGGAAAATTTTTGAAAGTAGTCTCTGAAATAAAACATGTATATCTAGTAATTATGTTTAGCCATGTAGTGAACAGAAATCCTTATATTGGGCAAAAACAGGAATATTTTTATATATTGCTAGTGAGCTTGGTGAATAAGAAATCAAGAAAGCAATCTCATTCACAATAGTTTAAAAACATCTAGGACTAATTTTAAACAGTGAAAAACTACAATAATAAATAGTAAACTGATGAAAAAAATTCAAGAAGACACACAAAAATGGAAAGAATCCCATGTTCATAGATTGGAAGATTTATATTGTTAAATAACTATATATCCAGAGAAAACTACAGATTCAATTTAATCTCTGTCAAAATACCTATGACATTACTCACAGAAATAGGTAAAGCAATTACAAAATCCATATAGAACCACAAAAGAGCCAAAACAATTCTGAAAAAAACAACAACAAATAAATGAATGCAATGTATATCAAGACACATCGAGGGCCGGCCAGATAGCTCAGCGGGTTCAAATGCCTGCTTAGGCAGACTCAGGGACCGGAGTTTGATCCCTGGCATGCTGTGCAGACCCTGCCCCCAGGGTGCACTGAGACTGAACGTGGTGGTGCACCTGCAATCCCAGTGCTTGGGAGGCTGAAAATAGGAGGACCATTATGAGTGTGATCTGTGTAGTGAGACCCTGCAGGCCCTGTACCAAATACATTTAAAAAAAAAGACACATAGAAGAATGAAACAGTATAGAGAACCAGAATTAAGTTAACATTCTAAATGTTAACTGATTTTCCTCCCAAAGCGCCAACAACACACATTAATGAAAGGGCAGCCTCTTCAAAACAAGCTGCTGGGAAATCTGATATCTGTATGTAAGGGAATGAAATGAGGTTCCCCCCCTCTATATATAATATATATTCAAATATAAATAGACCTAAATATAACCTCTGAAACACTGAAACCATTAAAAGAAAGCTTAGGGCAAAGATTTCAAGACATTTTTATAGGCAAATGTTAAAAAAAAATAGGACCTTCAAACCAGAGTTTATCAAGCTAAGACCATTCTGATGAACAAAGAAAACCACCAACTACTAGGCAAAGAGAAAATATATGTTGTGGGAAAAAGTGAATAAAATTTTAATAATACCCTAGTAATTAATTTCTCATTATTAGGAGTGGGGAAAAGGAGGAAATGGGGAAAATTAGTTCAAAGGGTACAAATTTAAGTTAGGGAGGGTGAATAAACTAGAGATTCAATCTATAGTATGAAGACTATGGCTAATATTGTATTATATACTGAAAATTTTCTAGAAGAGTAGATTTCAGGTGCTCTTATCAGAAAAAAGGAAGAGGTAATAGTAATATAAGGTAATAAGTAATAGATTTCAAAATTTGTAGTAATTATTGTATTATATATCAAAGCATCATTTTTGCATCTAAATATATACAATAAAAATAAAAAAATGATTTCTGTAATCAATTTAGAGCAAATACAATGATGTCTTTGCAGAAGGGTCCTTTGTATAAGTGTTGCTGTTAGTGATCTAGTGCTAGGTGGCATTGCTGTGGTCCTTAGATCCTCGTGATCACTGAATGTCACTGCCTTAAGTCTGTCGTTTCCTTTGGTCATCTTCTTGTATGAGCATGCTAATGAAAGGTGCCCCCTACCCTCCCCACCCACCATCAAAGCATGTGCTCCCGTCTTGTCTGTGACCTTCTGTGACCTCCCCCTTTGTGGGGCACTACTTCATACCATTGTTTCCGACAGTGACACCAGGAAGCCAACAGAAAGCCCTGTTTTTGGAAGGATTTCAGGAGTGGGAGAACCGTGGCGTCTCTGGCCCTACGTCCCCAGTTCTCTGAAATTCGCTACCTCAGCTAAACTGAGCAAATTTCACGTTTGTGGAGACGGTGAAAGAATAAATTACTGTTTATTTTCTTAGAGAATTATGACTATACTGTTTTGTGAACAAGGTGGTGACTGTTCAGGTAACTAAGTTGGTGGGGGTTGTTTTGCTTGCTGTAGTAAAGCTGAGCAGCTGTAGCAAGGCCGCATCGCGCCGCTGTAGGGCACCAGAAGATCTCACCGAAGCGCCAGGTCTTCCCCCATGAGCTGAGCCAGCCAGGCAGGTCTCCTGTTCTCCCACCGCCTGCCTTTCTCCATTTTGTAATTAAAAAAACAATAATAGTAACTTCTGCCTTCTGGTGCTTTTGGGGGCGTTCATGGTAAAAGGTGTGCGTATTTTCTTTTAAGTGTGCATGTTTACTTAGCTCCCTACCTCACGCGCGCCTGGGCTTTCAAGCCGCAGGAGTTACGTGAGCTGTTTCATGTTCATGCAGCTGGAATCAGTACAAGACATGAAATATTTCATAAGGCTTTTGTCTTCAGGGAAAGCATCCCAGTGTCTAAGAAGCACTACGGGACAGATATCATTATATATACAAGAGATAAAGCGCACGGCTTATCATTAATGTTATAAATTCTCAACTGGTTATCAGTCTAATAATTGAGAAGACTGAATGAGTTTTGATAAAAATTGCCTCACTGACTCTGGATTCTGGAAGTGGCCCCACCTCAGGGGTTCACAAGAGTCAAGCAGTGCCTGTGTCCTGCCCCAGGCTGGCCACACCGGGATCTCCAGGGTGGGGCGGTGGACAGGGCAACATGAGTTAAGTACGCCTTGTTTTTATGTTTTCAGGGGCCAGAGTCCACTCGGAGGAGAAATCAAAGCGGGCCTCGCTGATTGGCTACGACCGCGTCGAAGCATCTCAAGTGCGTCATCAGTGACACTATAAAAGCTTTGCCTTTCAAGGTTACAGTTGTCTCGGTGAGAACAGAAGCTCCGATGGACGCCGTGGTGATCCTGGTGCTCGGTGTCTCCTGTCTGCTTCTCCTCTCACTCTGGAGACAGAGCTCGGGGAGAGGGAAGCTTCCCCCCGGCCCCGCTCCTCTCCCACTCGTTGGAAACATCCTGCAGATAGACGTCAGAGACATCAGCAAGTCCTTCGCCAGTGTAAGTAGGCTTTAAGCTCCTGTGGTGGCCACATAGGGAAGTTGACAGCTTTTCAGTAAAATAAGTTCCTGGAGGCAAAATATTGAACTATGCTACCATAAGGCAGGTGTTCCCTGTGGATGATTATTTTTGTTGTGTCATCACAAACCATGGAATGATACATTGCATTGTCAGCATGGAAATATTGAAGTTGTAAGGTAAATCAAAGTAATAAAATGCTGCTACCCCTTTTCATTTCAATCATTTGCTATTACTTTTTGCCTAAGGTGAATGGTAATAAAAGTGGTTTTTTTTTTGAGGATTTTTGCACCTATGTTCATGAGTGAAACTGATCTGTAATTTTCTTTTTTGGTTGGATCTTTCTCCATTTTCTTTTCTTTTCTTCCATAATTTTATTGATAAATAGCAATGAGACAGTTTCAAATCAAATTGGTAGGACAGTTTCAATAATTAACACATTGCATACATTCTTCCTAGTGGTTAATTGCTGTACAAGATGCGGACTTGATATCCTATTTACAAACACCATTAAAACAAATCACTCTGTTCATTAAGAGAACGTAACTATATATCTAGCCTAACCACTTTGAATACACAGATACAAAATGGACATTCATCTGTATCCCCTTTTTTGTTAAGTTCCGTTATATGAATATTATAGGTGTGTAAACTCAGCAAAATATTCTAAAAGAGTCCAGTAGCCCATAATAGTACTGGGTCTTCTGCTTGATTGGCAATGTCAGAAATTGTTGACCTGAGTCCCCTACAGCTCAACATAACAGCATGGCTTTACTTCTTATATTTCGTTTTTATACTTTTCTGCTGGATGGTTAAGACCAAGGTAAAGCTGGACCTATGCAACAAGAGTTGTAGCTTTTGGGTCTGATAAGGTCAGTGAAATCCCCTCAGGATTTATCCTGAGACCCTGTACCTCAGATTGTAGAACCTTTGTCAGTGTCAGCCGTGTGGAGGATACGTATGAATGTGCATTTTGTATCTGTGTATGCAAAGTGGTTAGGATATAGTTACATTCTCTTAATGAATAGAGGGATTTGTTCTAATGGTGTCTGTAAATAGGATATCTTGTCTGCATCTTGTACAGCAATTAACCACAAGGAAGAATGTATGCAATGTGTTAATTATTGAAACTGTCCTACCAATTTGGTTTGAAACTGTCTCATTGCTATTTGTTTCTCAATAAAATTATGGAAAAATAAAGAAAAAATAAATTAGAGTCATTGGAATGATATGAACATGCATTAGGATGATCTGTCTGTGACCTACAAATGCACCGCAGGGAACCTACTTTGTGTGTGTGTGTGTGTGTGTGTGTGTGTGTGTGGCCGGCTGAGCGCCCCTGAGGGCAGGGCTGGCCAGGCGTGCAGTGCAGGGCTTGAGCGCGCTCGGGCACCTGCCTAAGCTTGCCCGAGCAGGCGCTTCAGACCGCGGAGCCGGCTCACCGCCGGAGCCTACTTCTGCTGCTGCTGTGTGATCTTCTTTCCTATTTCTAGTTCTCCAAAGTCTACGGCCCCGTGTTCACCTTGTACTTCGGCACGAAGCCCACCGTGGTGGTGCACGGATACGAGGCGGTGAAAGAAGCCCTGGATGGTCACGGAGAAGAGTTTTCTGGGCGAGGCAGTTTCCCCATTGTCGAGAAAACCAACAGCGGCCGCGGTAGGCGCGCGAGCGCGGCGCGTTTCCAGGCGGCGGCCGCGCGCGCCGTCCTCCGCCTCCTGCCGGCCGCCTTCTAGCTTCTGTCTCCCCTTCCGCTAGGAATCCTTTTCAGCAACGGAAGGAAATGGAAAGAGATCCGGCGCTTCTCGCTGATGACCCTGCGAAATTTTGGGATGGGGAAGAGGAGCCTGGAGGACCGCATTCAGGAGGAAGCGCGCTGCCTGGTGCAGGAGCTGAGAGGGACGCGCGGTGCGTGCGCTCGCTGTGCGGCGGGCTGCGCCTGCCCCCTGAGGTCCCCTGGCCGCGCGTGCGTGCGTGCGTGCGTGCGTGAGTGTGTGCGTGCGGGGGCAGGCGTGGTATTCTGGATGGGAGTGGTCGGCCCTGGGGGGGGGCGGGGGATTGAACTCAGATCCTTGCGTTTGCCAGTCAAGCGCTTATCCTACTGAGTCATCTCCCCCGCACCTCAAGGGAACGTTTTTGTATCTGTCTTTGTTATGTCGGGGTGCAATGACCGGGGTGCAGTAGGGGTGAGACTCTGATTTACTTCTCCCATTTCCTCTTGTTTTCAAAACAGTACATTACAAAGACAGGAAGTTTTGAGCCCCATTTAAAACAATTGCTCAAGAGTAACTTCTTTTTACGGACTGATATTGTGGGGTAACTGTTCCAGAACATTTGCATCAGGGAATACTTACCAAGTGGACCTGTTTCAATGATTTGTTTTGTATTTTTTTTTTTTTTAAGGGCAGGGTCTACGGGGTGTTCAGGGTCTCACTACTAGATTGGATTTAGAGTAATCCGTCTGTTTACAGCCTGCCAAGAGCTGGGATTACAGGTGCGCACCACCACCATGCCCAGTCTCAATTGCCATCTCAGCCCGCCCGGGGAGTGGAGCCAGCACAGCAGGCCAGGGAATCGAACCCCAGGCCCCTGCACCTGCTTGCCGGCGCTTTAATCCGCTCAGCTATTTGGCCAGCCCTTGTTTCAATGATTGCATCGCATGTTTTTTTTTTTTTGGGGGGGGGGAAAGTGGCATGTGCTGTTACTTTATGGTCCATACTTTTTATCAGCTTTAATGTCATATATGGGTTTGTTGAAGGCCTGTGTCTTCAATTTCTGCCATTAGCAATGTTTATACTTGACTTATTTTCCTAGGCATTTATTGTTTATTTTATTTTTTTGTGGTACCAAGGATAGATCTCAGGACCTTGCACTTGCCAGGCAAGCACTTACTCCACTAAGCTATCTCCCCAGCCCTTACATTTATTATTGAATCCCTCAACAATTGTGTTTTCTTTGTAAGCAAACAACTGTCAGCTGGTTTAAATAATTTTATTTACCACTATTATATTATTTTATACATCATGACTAAATATATATCATGGCAAAATTGTACAAATGTACAAACACTAAGGTATGAGATAATTTTAAAACTGGATTTCAGTGATTAGTAACTGTTTACCGTGCTTTCCATGAGTGTAAATTGGCTTTGTTGTAAGCTTTTCACATATTCCTCCTTGGTCTTTGTATAATAATCATGTGTTTTCTTTTCTTCTGTGATACCAGGGATTGAACAGCAGCCCTGTCTCTTGTTAGGCAGCACTTATGCTGCTGAGCTATCTCCCTGACTTTTTTTGTGTATTTTAAATTAAAAAAAATTTTTTTTGAAGTTTTCTTTATCTGATCATCCCTTGGCATCATGGTGCCTTGCAGACCCAGGGAGGAACTCTCCCTCTGGGCGCTGGCTAATTCTTAGAAAGCGCGCGTCTGGTGTACAAACCAGCTCATCCAGAGCCCATCCTCACAGCCACTTCCTCGACCAGAGTCTCACTTGCCACTTTAAGCTCATTCGGCCTTGGGTCATCCCAGGCCCCTGCACTGGAGATAAGTAAGGGCTGTGCCACTGAACAACGCCCACTGAAACCTTCAAGCTGGCCAATGAGACTCACTCTGCCACGGCTGATCCTCAGTGAGGTTCTGTGGAGTGGCTTCCCCGTGTTCCTTGGCCCCTTTGGCCAGCCCTGGTGCTCTGCAGGGAGGCTCTGCCTACAGTGGTGTGTCTCCCATGTCTATATGTTTTGGGAACCCTGAGCAACCAACAATTATTTCCATGGTTTTCATCTCTTGATTTTTTTTTTTTAAATGTACTTAGTACAGGGTCTACAGGGTCTCACTATACAGATCAGACTTGTAGTGATTCTCCTGTTCTCAGCTTCTCAAGCTCTGGGATTACAGGCACAGATTACAGCAGTCTCAGTTGCCATCTCAGTGCGCCCCGTGGCCGGCGGCATGCTGTGGGTCAAACCCCGAACCTTGTCCCTTCATCTGCCTAAGCAGGCGCTTTAATCCTCTGAGCTATCTGGCCGGCCCTTTTGTCTTGATTTTTGACCTCATCTTATTTGAGTTAAAAACAAAATCCCACATGCATCTTAAAACAATTACATTTTGTGCTACATCTCTTAAGCTAATTATTTAGCCCTCCCCCACAGCTAGATTTACGAAGTGCTTATCACAATGTGTCTGACTTTTGGCATTGATTCTAAATTGCAAATCAAATTTCCAGTCTGTCGCTTCATTTAGGAGAGATGAAGTGAGAGACTGGAAATTTGATTTGCAATTTAACACGTATATACTCACAGAAATCTCAGATTAATTAAATGTCAAAGTATTTCTTATCTTCCAGGGTAAAATATGAGCTTTTCTAGGAGTTTAGTGCCTTTGATGTTTCAGTGTAAAGGAGCCTGACACAAGCGCCGCCAGCCTAACAGATTCCTGTTACTTATTCCCTGCTGTTTCCTCATCAGCTTTTCCTTCCAGACACCATTGTTGTTCCCAGGTTCTGAGGTGTTGGGGGTTCCTTTCAAGAGATTCTTTCTGGGTTCTTCTTGTCCTGAACAAAGACTGGGTAAAATAATTGTGAAAGGCAGCAAGCTTTACGTTTATTAAAGGAAGGAAAAGAAACGTGCTCTGTAGAGCAGGTGTGGCACAACCAAAAGCAGGAAAGCAGCGCAGGCTGAGAGGGGACCACTGAGAAAGAGCAGGGGCGCAGCGCCCCTGCCGCGGCCTTGCCGGCCTCCCGCGCCGCGTGCTGACGCGCGGTCTAGGCTGGCTTGAGTTCTCGCCAGAACAATTCCGAAGGGCACTTTCTGATTGGAGCTGCTTGTGTCTGTGTGTGTCCTGGCGCACCCGTGCCCAGTCGGGTGCCACACCCTCGTTTCCTGCCTCCTGTATCTATGATGCGTGTTTGGAGGCGTGGACACAGAAAAAGTTTATTGATGCTTTCGCGGCAGTGTTTTCCTGTAAGTACAGCCTATACACAGTTTTTTTCTTTGCTTTAATTTATTTTCTGTAAGATGTTGGCATTGACCTAAATTAATGTTAAATTAAAAAAAAATCTTGTAATAAGAATAGCTATTTATTTATTTAGGTCCAGGGACTCACTATGCAGCTCAGACCCGGGATCAGCTGGTATGGGTACCACGGCATTGAAGCCTGGTCCTTGCAGTTGCCAGGCAGGCGCTTAGACTGCTGAGCTATCTCCCCTGCCCTAACAACAGTATTCTGATGATAGCTACATAGGACCATATCCTTGAAATCCATAAGAGGGCAGGCTTTAGCCAAACAAATTAAATATGAGCCTGGTGCTGGACAGAATTTTTTTTTTCCTCCTTTCATTATTGAAATCAAAAAGTAGAAAGAATATGTTTATCAGTTTAATATTTTGTGTTTCCCTTCTCTGTGATTTGAATTTGAAATTAAGATTCCTTATTTCACTTTTGGCAAGCCTATCTTACTACAATCTGTGCTCATTTTCATTTTTTTTTCTCATATAACATAGGTGGCTTTTGGCTTTTCCATTTGTTTCATCAAATACCTGTGTTTCCTATAATTTCTTTCTTTCTTTTCTTTTCTTTCTTTCTTTTTTTTTTTTTTTTTTTTCTGTTTGGAACTGGGGATTGAACTCAGGCCTTTCTTTCTTTCTTTGTCCTTTTGAGACAAGGTCTCCCTATGTAGTTCAGGCTGGCCTTGAGCTCACTTTGTAGCCCAGGTTGGTCTCAAACTTACACCAATCCTCCTGCCTCAGCCACTGAGTGCTGGGATTACAGGCCTGGACCACCATGCCCAGCTTCCTATAATCTCTTTTTAGTCTTTCTGTTAGTTTACCATAGAAATGGATTCTGCACTGATAACTTGAATTGTGAGTTGTTTTAAAAACTGGTAACTTTATTAGTTTCTTTTTTCCTCCAGAACAACATGGACACAGCTAAGAGCCAGGTACACAAAGATAGGGGTATTTATGTAAGGTAGTGAATCCCAAAGGCAAATTTTCCCAAATGATTACCAAAAAGAGCTAGAGTTGAATGGTCAGTTGAAATGTAAAGGAAAAAGTGATATGTTGATTTTAAGCATATGAGACTGATTGCTGATCAGGCTAATTCCTTGTGAGTATTTCTTTACAGACTACAATTATTGTAGCTAGTTGAAACACAGACTTTTGTAAGTGTGTCTTAATGGTCTTTTAAAAATGTCTGCACTTCCATAGGCTCGCCCTGTGATCCCACCTTTATCCTGGGCTGCGCTCCCTGCAATGTGATCTGCTCCATTATTTTCAAGAAGCGCTTTGATTATAAAGATGAGGATTTTCTTATTTTGATGGAAAAATTGAATGAAAACTTCAAGATTTTGAACACCCCGTGGATGCAGGTGGGACCAAGATTTTCTTTTTCTAGTAAAGCATTTGTGCTCACTTCTTGGATGAGTCCAAAATTCTTCATTAATGTGCATTTCTCAAACACTTACCTCAAAGATTGGCTTATAATTTTTTTTTCTGGAACATACAATTAGATTCTTCTCTTTGTTCAGAATCTGCCCTTCTTTCCTTCCTCTCCCCTCTCTCCTTCCCAAGCCCTCTCCCTCCCCGCTTCTCTCTCTTTGCAGGCTATAGCTATTTGTTCAATGATTTCTTTCAAATTTTTTTTTTAATTTTTAAAATTTTATTTTAAAGAGGAAGCAAAACAAAAACAAAGAATAAGAACAAAGACAAAGACAAAGCAACATAAAACAATAAAAATGGTACAGAATTCAAAACAAGAATAGGAAATTCACAATAGTTGTTATAGTACATAGTGTTATCATCAAATTTGCTGCTCAGATTACCAGATATGGGCATGGAACACTGGTCAAGCAATTAAAACAATAGTTCTTCTTTTCCATAAAGGAAGAACTTGGGTTTTTGTTGTCTTTTTCATTTTTAAAAAATTTATTTTTAAAACAGTAAAAAATAATACATATAATATTGGAAACAATACACATTTAAAAAAAACAAGATGAAATGTATTCAACAGTGGTTGTTGTATTACACATTACTGTCTTCAGTGTAGTGGTCAGATTACAGATACTAGCATATAAAATTGGTAAAAGTAAAAATTCTAAGCATTAGCTGCTACCTTCAAAAAAACTGATAGAAATTAGGAGTATAATCATCATAGCGATCCTGTGCATATGTTTGCATGATTTTTTTCCATTTGTCTTTTCTTTTTTCCTTTCCCTCATCTCAATTGTTTATTCCTTATGTTCAGTTTCTCTCTCTTACTGTATCTATTGTACCTTTCAGATTTTATTTATTCTTTCAGGTTCTTATACTAGGGAGACAATATGATGTTTACAGATGTGGGTCTGATTTATTTCACTTGACTCTAGCCTCTAGTTGCAGCCATTTATCTATAAAAGCTTCAAGTTTATCTTTTCTCTCGAATATTTTTAGAACATTGTATGCTTTGTGATATGTGGTCTCTGAAGCCTCTGTTCCTTTTGCTTGTGTGCAGTAGGGCTTGACAAAAATTTCCCTGAATACAGGGGTGCAGGAAAATACAGAAAGCAACAAGGAAAAAGAAGAAAGGGGGGCATTTCCTCCAGATGGACTCTGGCAGGCACTTCATGTCATAGCCTTCAATTGCTCTTTGACAGAGTCTAGAAGTGAGCAGAGGTGAAAGATTACGGTCTTCTCAGTCCTTTCTTAGTCTTTGTCTTACCCTGGGAGGGTTCCTTTTTTATTAATATTATTGAGAAACAAATAGCAATGAGACAATTTCGAAACAGGTTAGTAGGACAGTTACCATAATTAATACATTACATATTGTTGTCTTCATAGTAGTTATTCATAGTACAAGATGCAGACATGATATCCTGCCCAAGTAGCTGTACATCTGTCCTATTTTATATCTAATATATATATCTAATATATATATATATTTATATATATATTTCACTACAAAATGATCCTTCACTTATGTCCTCCTTTTTTGTTTAGCTTTGTCAGAGATGAGTATTCCATTGCCATTTAAATATTGTAGATACATGAGTTCAGCAAAATAATCTACTGTAGTCCAGTAGTCCATAATAGTAGTGGGTTATCCGTAGGACTGGCAATGTCAAAAGTTGTTGACTTGAGCCTTTTACAGCTTAGCATATTAATATAGCTTTACTTTTACATCTTGCTTTTATTGGATGGTTAAGACCAAGATTAAGCAAGACCTATATAACAAGAAATGTAAGTTTTGTATCTGACAAGGTCAGTCAAATCTTCTCAGGTTTTATCCTGAAACCCTGTACCGCAGTTTGTAGATTCTTTGTCACTGTCAGCCATGTGGATGAATCACAGCCATTGCTTGGCCAATGTGCTCTCTGTGAAAGCCTGAGAGAATGTTTTTTCTCTCCATGTGACTCTCCTTAGGCACATTATACACCATTGATCACTTTCCTCTGTGGCCCCATAATCTCCTTGGTCAGAAAATTTGGGATACCACTGAGTTACAGAATGTTACAGTACAGATTTTCTTATGTCCTGAGTCCTCACTGACCTTGAATGGTTAGGGCCAAAATGTTGGCTGTCCTTTCAGTCCTTCTTTTTCTCTAATTTTTGGTTTGCAAACGAGTTGTTAATCCTCCAGAAGAGAACATTAATGATATTATTACCCTATAACATAGGCAGTTGATGGGTTCCTATCTTTTTAAATTCATCAGTAGAAAGCTGTGTGGCTAATTTTGAGTTCCTTAGTTTTCTAAAAATACTCTTTCCTCAACTTTCCTTCCCAGGGTACAGTGCCTTAACTGTGCACTTGCTTCAGGTGACCCTGGGTTGGTTAGTGGCATTACAAGGTTTGCAGTGTTGCCTACTGTTTTCCCACCAATGTGTTATTACACAAAGACAAGTGTCTAGCTTCAGTCCCTCCCATGATCCTCAGCTAGGTTAGAACAGAAAGGCCCAATCTCTGTTCTCCAGAACCCAGAAGCCTCCGCTGAAAAAGAGCTGTCCGTGTCAAAGCATAGGCTGAACCAAAGAGGCAAGTGGGATGAGGACAAAAAACATGCCATCAAGATTTTCTACCATTTAATGTTACCCACCCTCCTTCAAAAAACTTTTCTGTTAGTGCATGTTTGCAGCATATAATGTATGTTCCTTGTGTGGAGTTGGCCTGTTCTCTCTCTTTTTCTTTTTTTGAAGAACACAAAATAAGGGCTGGCAAGACAGCTCGTGGACTAGTGCCTGCTTAAGCAAGGATAGGGAGCAGGGTTTGATCTCCTGCACCAAATACTGCACCAGCCCTACCTCCAGGCATGCTGAGACCAGGTGTGGGGTGACACACACATCTTATTCCAGCGCTGGAGAGGCTGAAAACAGGAGGATCACTATGAGTCCCAGCTGTGTAGTGAAACCCTGTACCAAATACATAAAAAAGAGAAACCAGACAAAATTTTATTAAAAAAAGTAATAGGAATTTCCTAATGGTTGTTGTATTGCATAATGGTATCTTCAAATTAGTCTTTTAGGTTACCAGAAGTAAACCTGCAATTTTATTTTATTTTTCCATAATTTTATTGACAGATAAATAGCAATGAGACAGTTTCAAATCAAATTGGTAGGACAGTTTCAATAATTAACACATTGCATACTCTCTTCCTAGTGGCTATTTGCTGTACAAGATGCAGACCCGATATCCTATTTACAAACACTATTAGAACAAATCCCTCTATT